TACTACTACTACTACTACTACTACTAATAGTACTACTACTACTACTACTACTACTACTACTACTACCATTATTGCGACCACGACTACTACAACTACGACTACGACTACGACCTCTTCTCCTACGACTACTACCACCACCACCACCACCACCACTACTACTACGACTACGACTACGACTACTACTGCAACCACTACTACTACTACTACTACTACCACTATCACTACCACTACTACTACTACTACTACTACTACTACTACGACTACGACAAATACGACGACTACCACTACTACGACGACTACGACGACTACTACTACTATTATTACTACTACTACTACTACTACTACTACGACTACGGCTACTGCTGCTACTATTGCTACTAATGGCAGTACTACTACGACTATACCACATTGCTACTATTACTATTATTATCACCACTACTACTACTACTACTACTACTATTACTACTACTACGACTACTACTACTACTACTACGACTACTACTACTACTACTACTACTATTACTACTACTACTTACTACTACCACTACTACTACTACTACTACTACTACTACTACTACTACTACTACTACTACTACTACTACTACTACTACTACTACTACTACTACTACTACTACTACTACTACTACTACTACTAACTACTACTACTACTACTACTACTACTACTACTACTACTACTACTACTACTACTACTACTACTACTACTACTACTACTTTTTCTACTACGACTACGACTACAACTACAACCAATACTACTACTACTACTACTACTACTACTACTACTACTACTACTACTACTACTACTACTACTACTGTTACTACTCCTACTATTACTACTACTACTACTACTACTACTACTACCACCACTACTATCACTGCTACAACTACTACGGCTACGACTACGACTACGACTACGACTACGACGACTACTACTACTACTACTACGACTACTACTACTACTACTACTACTACTACTACTACTACTACGAATCGGAGGATCAATATAGTTTTGAATCGATGCAATTCGGTACGCTACTACTACGAATCGGAGGATCAATTTTGCATAGTTTTGAATCGATGCAATTCGGTGCGGTTTTGCTCACGCGTCGGTGCCCTCTTGCTCATCTTAACATAGTACTCGTGCGAAGACCAAAATTGAGACCTATTCCAACTCTGGCACGTATATTGGCTTCAAGAACCCCTGACTTGACGTAAGAGGTGTCGCTTGATCTTCACAGTCGTCTTGGGCTTCTCCACGCTTAAAATCTTATTGCGAGGCTACCCCAAGCAGGTTGGGATTTGGCCCAGTTTGCTTTTCGCACTGGTTGGGATTGGTCCCAGTTGGTTGGGATTGGGCCCAGTTGGTTGGGATTCGGCCCACATGCGGTTCACCCCCCCCCCCTTTCCTACGGGGGGGGCGGTTCGACCCCCCCCCCTCGGCGCGGGCGCTGGCGGCGACCAGCAGCGCTGGCGCTGGCGCTGGCGACAGCGGGGACGCAGCGACGATTACCGCTACTACCACCACCACCACCACTACCACCACCACAAACCACCTCAACCCACCACCACCACCACAACCAACAGCAGCACACAACCACCACCACCACCACAACCACCACCGCAACTCGCAATCACCACGACCACCATTGAAACCCACCACCACTACCACCACCACCACCACAATCTACCACACCACCACCACCACCGCCACAACTACCACCACCACTACCAGCAGCACAACCCCCCGCTACCACCACAAACCACCACACCACCACCATCACCACCACCGCCACCATCACAACCACCACCACCACCACAAAAAAAAAAACGTCCACAAACCACCGCCACGACCACAACCAATCACCACCACCACCACCACCGCAACTCACCATCACCACCACCAACACAAAAACCCACCACCCCTACCACCACCACCACAATCTACCACACCACCACCACCACCACCGCCACAACCACCACCACTACCAGCAGCACAACCCACCACCACCACCACAAATCACCACACCACCACCACCACCGCCACCACCACCACCACAAGCACCACCTCCACAAACCACTGCCACAACCACAACCCGCCACCACCACCACCACAAACCACCACCACACAACCGCCAAACCACCACCACTACCACCACAACCCACCACCTCCACCATCACCACAAACCACCACCACACCACCACCAAACCACCACCACCACCACCACCACCCACCGCAACAACCACCACCACCACCACCACAATAATAAACCACCACACAACCACCTTCACCACCACCGCCACCACCACTCCCACCACCACAACCCACCACCACCACTACCGTCCTCGTCGACGCTCCCCGCCATCGCCGCCCGCCGCCGCAGGGCCGCCCAGGGGCTTAGGCAATGGCTAATTCACCGTGACGGGCGTCCAGGGGTCCCAGAGCCGCCCTGGGGCCCTGGGCGGTGGCTAATTCACCGTGACGGGCGTCTGGGGCTCGCCAGGGCCGCCCAGGGGCTTGGGCGGCGGCTAATTCACCGTGACGGGCGTCCGGGGGTCCCCAGGGCCGCCCATTGGCTTGGGCGGTGGCGAATTCACCGTGACGGACGTTCGGGGGTTCCGAAACCGGCCAATAAATGGAAATCGTCGTCCCCGCCGCCGACCCAAGCGCAACGCCGGCCCGAGGAGAGGGGAAGCGGGGGAGGGTTCGAAACAAACCCCCATCCGTCACGAGAAGGGGGGGGGTCGAAACCCCTCCCTCCCCTCCGTCACTGGAGGGTGGGGGGGGTTCGAACCCCCCCCCCGCCCCGTCCATCTAGGGGGAGGGGGGTCCGGTTCCAACCCCCCCCCCCTCCAAGCGACCACAAGAACGCGCTCTTTCCGACATCGACGACGACGACGACGACGACCACGACGACGACCACGACGACGACGACGACGGCGACGGAGACGTCGACGAAGACGACAACGGCGACGACAACGACGACGACGACGACGACGACGGCGGCGGCAGCGGCGACGACGACGAAGACGACGACCACGACGACGACGACAACGCCGACGACGACGACGACGACCACGACGACGACGACGACGACCACGACGACCACGCCGACGGCGGCGGCGGCGGCGGCGGCTGCGGCGGCGGCGGGGGCGACGAAGACGACGACGACGCCGACGAAGACGACATCGACGACGACGACGACGACGACGACGACGACGACGACGACCACGACCACGCCGACGACGACGACGACGACGCCGACGACGACGACGACGAGAACGGCAGCGTCGGCGGCCACGGCGCCAACGACGACGACGAAGACGAAGACGACGACGACGGCGACGACGACGGCGGCAGCGGCGACGACGACGAAGACGACGACCACGACGACAACGACCACGACGACGACGACGACGACGACGACGACGACGACGACGACGACGACGGCGGCGGCGGCGGCAGCGGCGGCGGCAGCGGCGCAGGTGTCGCTCATATGGCGAGTTCCAGAAAGCCTGAACCCAAAAATGTTGTCATCCCTTGGGGGCACACTGTTTACTTCCGCTACCTTCCACCGTGTGAATGTGTGGTGTCAGGTTTGGGAAATATGTGCTGCGCGAGTGTATGTGTTATGTGGTGTATGCGATGTGTGCGTTATGTGTGTGTGTCATGCGTTCTGCGTGTTGTGTGTCTCATGTGTGTTGTGTGCGTTGCGCGTGTGCGTGTGTGTATGTGTGTGCGTGTGCGTGTGCGTTGTGCGTATTGTGTTTGCAGTGTTGTGTCTGATGTGTGTGTGTGTGCGTATGTGTTCTCTGGGCGTTCTACGGTGTTATGTGTGCTGTAGGTGTTGTGAGTGTTCTGTGTGAGCTGTGTGTGATGCTGTTTTGTGTGGTGTGTCTGCGTGGTCAGTGTACTCTGTGTTTATGTGCGTGTTGTACGCCAGGGCTCGATGTTGTAAGGGTGTCTCGGGCGAAACTGCCTTCTTCTAAAAATCGCGTTCAACTGGGGCTCGATTTTTGGAGGATGTCTCAGGCGAAACTACAATCTTCGAAGAATCCAGCTCAGAATGTTCTTGCGAAGACTCAACAGCAAGAATCCGCACCGCGAGTCCCCACTTCTCCGCGGCGAGCGAGAGGAGGAAATGAAAAAGAGAAGACCTTCTCAGAAGGCGGCGGGACTTCTCTGAAGCCCTCGCGTCTTCTCTGAAATTGTCTGTGTCTTCGGGATTGCTAAACGAATTCTCAGAAGGCTTCTGCGAAGGCCCGCCCCTTCTCACTTCCCCCCCCCGCTTGCCGCCGAAATGAAAGCTCAACAGCAAGAATCCTCAAAGCAGGTCCCCGTTTCAGCCGCGCACCCGAGGGTAGCGCAAGATCGTTCGCCCCTCCCCCCCCACACTTTGACAAAGCAGCGGGCCTTGCGAAAGATGCCACCCCTGGGGAAGACAATCCCACAAGCAACTGGCCAAGGAGCCAGGAGGAATGGCTACGGTCGAACCTAGGACAGCAGAACATCGCTCAAGAACACGAGACCCTCCGCCGGCCAAAACGCACAGAGCATCTAAGGACACCCTCCCAGGATGCACAAGAACATCCAACCAACGCAGAGAGCACCAGGGTACCCACCTCGAACCGACCTCGACCTTATACCTCGGTCCGACTGTGTAAGAGAAGGAGAGGCCCAGCACCTCTGGGTTCGGGTGGCTTTCCTGAGATCCCGCGCTGGGAAGACCGCTGCCTCCCTGTGAGAGGGGTACCCGGCACGAATTGGGGATGGACAGACCCCCCTTTAATAAAACGTGGTTTAGTGAACACGACCTGAGGCCCAAACCTGGCGGGCGCAAGCCTGGAGAATAACGGCCACGGCGCCATCTCGAGAACCGAAAACGGACAATTCACTAATCGACGTGTCACTGTTGGGGGTTCTGTCCACCCCCGAACGAAGAAGATGTAAGAGGAGCTCGAACGGCCACGGGAAGAGGACGGAGCCTGGATCTTCGTGCTGAAAAAACTGAACGGAGGGGGAGAGAGGCAGGGACGAGGGAAACAGATGCACTTACGACTCACACGAGCGACTCTCGCGAGAATCTGCCGATGAAGCAGCGAAGGGAGAGGACGATGGGAGCGAGAAGACGGGCGGGAAGAGAGACGAGAAGGGAGGAGGCGATCGGGGAGATAGGAAGGACACGAGAAGAGGCAGGAGAGAGGAGAGGGGAGGCCCTACCCCGCCCACCCATCCCTTATTGCGTTGCGTCTTTCCCCATCGGCCGACCAGGGTGTCCTCCAGGACCTTGATCCCCCACATGGAAATTGCAGGTGTCCATCAACGGTTTGCTGTGCTATCGGGAAGGAAGGGAGCTTGTACATAGGAGAAGACGAGGAGAAGGGTGGCTGGAGGTCGAGAAGACTCTCCCTCTTCTTCACCGTCTGGCTGGCGCATACTCTCTGCCCTTGCGGGCGAACTGTCTTATTTTTAGCCCTTTGCGCCTTCCTGTATTCCGCTGCGCCAGCCAGGCGTAATTTATTTGTCTCAGGACTAGGGGCCCTGCCTCCTGCTTGCGAAACTGTTTACGCTTCGCGAATCCCCACCAGCCCATTCAGGAGCCCCGCCCGTGAGAGCTGACAGGAGAAGGGACGAAGAGACACATGTAGTGAAACAAAGCAGGCAATCAGGGTGAACAAGAGAGATCTCAGGGAGAAAATCGGGAGCGGCCAAGAGGGGGGTGTCCAAGAGGGGGAAGTGCAAATCATGGCCGGCGGCATGTGCGCGGCCCAGCGGGGGGGCCGGGACCGCATTGAAATAAGAAGAGGCGCCATGAAATCTGGGGAAGTACCATGCCCCCCGCCATGATTTCCACCCCCCCTAGTCATCACCCTCCTCTTTTCCGCCACCGACAAAAGGTGTGGCCCTGGATGGCCTCGGCCTCTCCAGGCCATCCCCAGGGCCCGCGCGGGGGCGAGGAGGAGGAGGAGGAGGAGGAGGAGGAGGAGGAGGAGGAGGAGGAGGAGGAGGAGGGGGAGGAGAAGGAGGAGGAGGGAGGAGGGGGAGGAGGGAGGAGGGAGGAGGGAGGAGGGAGGAGGGAGGAGGAGGCAGACGACCCCCCTCCTCCCGCGGCGGAGCGCCCACCGCTCCGCACGCCGCCCCCGCGTTCGCCACGGGGGTACAGGGGCGACGACGACGACGACGACCACGACGACGACCACGATGACGACGACGACGACGACGACGACGACGACCACGACGACGACGACGACGACGACGACGACGACGACGACGACGACGGCGGCGGCGGCGGCGGCGGCGGCGACGACGGCGGCGCCGGTTCGGGTTGAACGAGCTCGGAAGCACGAACGCCGCGGAGGCCGCCGCCTCGCGTGCGCTGAGTGGCGGGGCGGGCCCGTTGGCGTAGCTGCCGGGGCCCACCTGGGGGGGGGAGGGGACGGCACCAGCGCCACAAGGGGGTCGAGGGAGGGGGAGGAGGAGGAGGAGGAGGAGGAGGAGGAGGAGGAGGAGGAGGAGGAGGAGGAGGGAGGAGGAGGGAGGAGGGAGGAGGAGGAGGAGGCGGAGGAGGAGGAGGAGGGAGGCCATCGCTGGAGGCGTCCCAGACGGGGTCCGAGTCGTTGGGATCGGAGGATCGCGTCTCATCGCCAATGCATCGCCGATGCTTCGTCGAGTGGAGGAGGCCATCGCTAGAGGCCTCCCAGATGGGGTCCGAGCATTATAATGTCGGAAGATCACGCCGCATCGCCAATGCGTCGCCGATGCATCGCCGTTGCATCGCCGTGCATCGCCGATGCGTCGCCGACGCCGGCGTGGAGAAGATCGGGATCCACATCGAGCCGCATCGCCAGGCGGCGCGATCCTGCGACCCCATCTGCGGAGAGGCGTCGCCCGTGTCGCTCTATCCCTCTCTCGGCGGGCGTCCGCTTCGGGACGCCTCCGACCTCCAGCTCTAGGGGGGGCACGGTGGACCTCCACTCGACAGGGGCGTCCGAGGTCGCGCCTGTGCCAACAGGGGATATGTCGACCCCCATCCCAGGCTTCGTGGGGTTTTCGAACAGACCAGAACTCTGGGGCCCAACCCTGAAATATACGACGGGGGGCGCCCATCATGCGTCCGAAGAGCCCCCTGGGGTGCATCCCAGGGCCCCATTCCTCTTCGGAGCGGCTTCTTTTTTTCGGGTCGGGCGAAAGGGGGGATAGCAAAGGGGGGGTTGAGAATCAGCTCACGTAGCTGATTTTCCTGGCGCCTCCCAGCGCCAGAGGCGGCTATGTATCGAAGAATGGGCCCCTCCGTGGGGGCCGAAAAACCAGCTGCATGCAGCAAATTTCGTATCCCCCCCCCTTCCCAAGCCCCCCCTTTCGTCCGGCCCGATTTTTGGCCGAAAAGTCGGGGGGTGGGTGGGAGAGAAGACTCGCCGGAGAGGTGCGGCTTCCTAAATAAAACAAGGCTAGGATCGGGATAAATCGCTCCAGAGCGTTCCGGAGCGCTCTCAGAGCGTTCCGGAACGCTCTGGAGCGGCCGCGGCGCCCAGTACATCCTCCCAACCCGCCGGTTCTCAGAGATTTCGAGTCATCCCGATCCGATGTTGTCCCGATCTTCGCGTCGTTTTACCCTCCCCCGGCCACCGAGGCCGAGGCCGAGGCCTTCGGCCGCCGCAGCCTCGCCGACCTCGACGCGAGGCCGTGGGCGCCGCGCCGGCCGAAGGAGCCGGGCACGCGCAGCCCCGCCCGCACGGTCTGGTGGTCGCCGGCGAAGGCCGGGTCGCACTGGTCGGGCACGCCGAAGCGGGGCTCCTGTCGGAGGCTGGCTACCTGCCAGACCACCCCGAATCCCAACCCGAAGGCCCGAATCCCACCAGCCCTCTGGGCGTCCGTGGTTTGGAGCGTTTCCTCCTCCACCCCTCCTTCTTCCCCCTCGGGGAGGGGTTTACCCCTCCCCCTGCCCCCTCCCCACTGACCTGGACAGGGGGCTCCGCGGCGCGTTGGAGCGCCCAAGATCGACCCCTGGGAGGGCTAAAATTCGACACCCCTCACGAGGATCGTGGCTCCTGAGGGGGGGACTGTAATTAGGGAACCCCCCTTCGTTGATCGATCTCCTCCAAGATGGCTCCGAGGCCCCCCAAGAGGCCCCCAGGAGGCCCCCAAGAGACCCCCAAGAGGCCCCAAGAGACCCCCCAGAGGCACGCAAGAAGCGCCCAGGAGGCCCCAAGAAGCGCCCAGGAGGCCCCCAAAGGCCCCAAGATAGCCCCAAGAGGCCCCAAGAGGCCCCCAGGAGGCCCCAAAGAGGATCCCGAACGGCCCACAGAGGCCCCCCCGAGGCACCCAAGACGCCGAAAAGCTCCTCAGGACGACCCTCTACTCGCCTGGGCGTCGTTTCTGGACGGGCTGGTGGGGATACGCGAAGCGTCTAGAATTTCGGGTTGGGGGGGGCATGGGTTCCACATGTGTTTTTTCGATGTTCCCGGACCCCCCCCCACCAGAAATCGAGGGTTAATCTGAGCCTTCGGGTTGGGTTGGGGTGGTTTGGTGGGTGGTTGGAGGCGCGGCCAGGCGGCGAGCGGTCTTCGAGGACCCACAGGGGCCCACTGAGAGCCCCAGGCTGGCCTCATGCTGCTCCCATCGCACCTAAGGACCACATCTCAGAAATGCGCCGGCCCAACGGTCCAAGGGCGTGCTAAGATCTCCGGTAACTGGTGAACAATATTCTAGTTCGCGCGCGCGGGGCCGCCCCTGGGGGTCCCCGGACGGAAAGTACCCAGGGACACCCCCAGGACACCCCCGGGACACCCCCGGGACACTTGGATCAGAGATGCCAGACCAGGCAATTTTTCGACACCCCTCACGAGGATCGTGGCCTCCGAGGGGAGGGGCGCAATCGACTACCCCCCTCCTGACCCAAGAGGTCCCCAAGACTGCCCAAGAGGCCCCCGAGACGCCGAAAGAGCGCTCCAAGACGCCGATGATGACCCCAAGACGGCCCAAGAGGCCTCCAAGTGGCCTCCAAGTGGCCTCCAAGAGGCCTCACAAGAGGGCCCGAGAGGCCAAAATCATGAATTGCACGATGGTTTCGGAAGCATTTTGGCCTTGTCGCCTTTTCGGCCATCCGATGCTCCAAGACGGCCCAAGAGGCCCCCAAGAGCGCCCCAAGACGGGCCAAGAGGCTTCCAAGAGGGCCCCAAGAGGGCCCAAAAGGGCCCCGAGACGGCCCAAGAGGCGCCCAAGACGGCCCAAGACGGCCCGAAGAGGGGCCCAAGAGGGGGACCACGAACCGAAAACTCGAGCCTTCCGCCCCAAGAGGGCCCCAGGAGGCCCCGAGAGGCCCCCAAGAGGCCGCCAAGAGGCCCCAAGATGCCGCAAAGAGGCCCCCAAGAGGCCCGAGGAGGCCCCCAGAAGGCCCAAAAGAGGACCCAAGAGGCCCCAAAAGTTCAAAAATGCCTCCCAGGCGCTCCCGAACGGCTTCTCAAAAGAAGCCAAGAGGCCCCCCAAAGAAGCATCTTGACGATGACCCTGTTTGGCCCCAAGAGCAACACGAGATGCCAACGAGAGGCTTCCTCCTCCGCCCATTCCCCCTCCTCCTCCTCCTCCTCCCCCTCCTCCTCCTCCTCCTCCTCCTCCTCCTCTCCTACTCCTCCTCCTCCTCCTCCTCTCATCCTCCTCCTCTCCTTCTCATCCTCTCCTCCTCCCCCCTCCCATTTCTACATCCTCATATTCCTCCTCCTCCTCCTCCTCCTCCTCCTCCTCCTCCTCCTCCTCCTCCTCCTCGACGGCGCAACAGTGGCCCTGGGCCCACGGCGAAGCAGAAGCGATCATGCAACATGGGCCGGCGGAGTGAGCGAAGCGATTGAATAATTTCGAGCACCCAGAGAAATGTCGAAAGAGTGTCGAAAGAGTGTCGAAAGAGTGTCGGACGAGTAGGCCGCGGGCGGCGGGCTGCCCACGACCTGCGGGGCTGGCAAGGGCAAACAGCGAACGCCGACCCGCCCGCAGAGGCAGAGACATGCAATGATACCCGCAGAAGGACGACCCCCAGAGGCGAAGAACGACCCGCAGAGGACCCCGAGGACATCCGTGCGTCCTGACAATGAATTTCGACTCTGCTTCGCCATCGCGTCTCCCACCGCCTCCCCCCATACGAGGCACCGAGAGCGACACGCGGAGTGGTGCCACGAGCCCCGCTGCCGCAGATGAGAGGCAGGCGGCGTGGGTCACGGGCGCGGGGGAGGCCCCAGGGAGGGCCTCGAGAGGAGGAGGAGGAGGAGGAGATGGAGGAGAAGGAGAAGGAGAAGGAGGAGCAGGAGGGCGAAGAGAAGGAGGAGGAGGAGGAGGAGGAGGAGGAGGATCATACAGAGGGCGAGAAGGAGGAGGATAAGGAGGGCGAGCAGCAGGAGGAGGAGGAGAAAGAGTTCAGGAGGAGAAGGGGGAGTCCAGGAGGGGGAGGAGGAGGAGGAAGAGGAGGAGGAGGAGTTCAGAAGGAGGAACCAAGAGGAGTCCAGACGGAGAGCGAGGTGGAGGAGGAGGCGGAACGCCCTCCTGGCTGCCGAAGCCCCTCTGCTCCCGGTTGCCCCGGTACAGTACCGTCTCGTACCTGGCCGGGATGGTGGCGAGGCGGCGCTCCTCGGCCTCGGGGCTCCGCGCCGCGCTCCTGGGCGCCGGGGCGGGAGGGAATCGAGCCCCCTCCTCCACCTCCGCCTCCGCCTCCTCCTCCTCCTCCTTCTCCTCCTCCTACTCCTCCTCCTCCTCCTCCTCCTCTCCTCCTCCTCCTCTCCTCCTCCTCCTCCCTCCTCCTCCTCCTCCTCCTCCTCCCTCCTCCTCCTCCTCCTCCTCCTCCTCCTCTCCTCTCCTCCTCCTCCTCCTCCTCTCCTCCTCCCCCTCCCCCTTCTCCTCCTCCTCCTCCTCTCCTCCTCCTCCTCCTCCTCCTCCTCCCCCTCCTCCTCCTCCTCCTCCTCCTCCTCCTGCGCCGCCCCTGGCGCGCTCCACGCCCCAGGGAGGACGGGGGGCCCTCGTGCGAGATGGCACAGCGACCTCACGCGGCGGCTCACGCGGGCCGCGGGCGCGGCACGCCACACTGGAAGCGCGGGCGCCTGCGCGCGACCATACGTGGGCAGCCTACGCCCCAATGACGGCGATGACGACTCCGTGTTCTCCCGCCGCTCACACGGAAAGGCGGCACCAACTCCACCGAGGACCACCAGCGGGAGCAGCCACGAGGTGCGCCCTGATGGTGTGGTGCCACCCTTAGTGGGCCCTGGAAACGACAAGGCCGCTTTTTTTACCGGATCCGTTCTGCCGTTTTCTTGCCGGTTCCGACGCCGTTTTACCGGTTCCGTCGCCGTCTTTTGACCGGTTCCGGCTCCAAATCCAATCCTGGAGCCGTTTTTTTGCCGTTTCCGGTCGCCGTTTTTTGCCGTTTCCATTTTCAAGGGACATTTTTTTTGAAACGGTAAAAAAACGGCCCTGCCGTTTCCAGGGCCCACAAAGGTGCCACCCTCACGCTCGAGACTTCCCCTGTCCCCAGCTTGGGGAGGCGTGGATCTCCTCGCTGGAGGTGGCCCCCTGGTGGTGGTGGTGGTGTTGCTTCTCCTCCCCCCGACTCCACTACTCCTGTCAGGAACTTTTGCTTAGCGTGAAGCTGCGATACGCTGTGCTCTGCCAACGGATCGCGTGTCGCTCCGCTCCGCAGGGCGAAGGATCGGGAAAGGCTCGGGACATTGACGCTTGGAAATGGGGTCGCGCCGAAGTGCGGTGGGCCGGAACCGGCTGCGCGACACGCTAAGCCTAAATTCCTGACCGTACTCTTCTCTCTCCCCTGTCCCTGTCCTGGAGATGTTCGGCACGCTCCGCGTGTTGTAAACCACATCCTGCATTTCAATGGTTGGCCTGTCGTGTGTTCTGTTTCGATCCGATCGCTTCCATCTCCTCAAAATTTTGCTCACGCTGCAATCCCGCGCTTCTGATCCTTCAAACTCGTGCTCCCGCTGCAAAGCTGGTCTCGTTTCCGCGTTTGTCGGCCCTTCCGAACCAAACTCTCGCTGCAACGCTGGTTTACTTTCCGGAGTATGCTCCCGCTGCATCGCTGGTCTCCTTTCCGCGTTCTCGGCCCTACCGAACACTGTTCCTGCTGCATCGCTGGCCTCCTTTCCGCGTTCGGTCATCCGAATGATGTTCCCGCTGCAACGCTGGTCCTTCCGCTTGGCGTTCCTGCTGCAACGCTGGCCTCCTTGCCGCGTTTTCAGTCATTCCAAATGGTGTTCCCGCTGGAACGGCCCTTCTGGGATGGTGCTCCTGCTGCAAAACTGGCCTTCTTTCCGTGTTTTCGATCCTTCCGAATGGCACTCCCACGGCAGCACCAGCCTCATATCCCAAATGTCGGTCTGCCATCATGGTTGTCTGGCTGCACCGCTCACGCAGCCATGGTACGCAATTCAGTGCTACATAGTGTGCCGCTGGTATGCGATTCCTTGCCTTAGACTACAAACCTGTAATAAACAACAATGGACTACGCAGTTCAACGCAACGCAATCACATGCCATGCAATGCTACCATGTGCAATGCTTGACTAACTACGCAATGCTGTGCCATGCTATGCATCGCGTACCCTTTGGGGATCGTTGTCCTCGTCACCATCCGACTGCGCGAATAGAGAGGGGCTCTGCGCAGTGGTGAGGGATGGGAGGGAAGGGTATGACGTCAGGTATGTCGCGAGCGCACCTAGCTTGCCTCCTCTCCCTCTCCCTCCTCCTCCCCCGCCATCCCTTCTGGGTGCCCAGCCATTCATCGATGCGTCCGCGATGGATCGCCGATTCCAGGTCAATGCTTCCATCCCGCACCTCATGTTCCGAGACCCTTGCACCGCTCGGACGTCCATTCCCTGTGCATTTTTCGGTTTCGTGCGTGTTTTTGTTTGCTCGATGATCCAGGATGCTCCTCCAGGGTCCTCGCAGAGAAAAAATGTACACGTCCGAGCGATGCCAGGCACTCCCCTGGACAAGTGCTTCGCCCTGGGCCGTCTCAGGACGGCCCCCGGACCAGAGGATTTGCTGACGCTGCCGGTGACTTTCGTTGTGACCAGACCACGGCACACCCGAGAACTTCTCAACCGAGCACGGCCGCTAGGAGCGCTTCAACATGAAACGACGGCCCCGTTGCCCTGGGGAGGACCCCGAAGGGACATGAGGGGCAACAATACGGGGGGACGGGCGTGGGGGATAGGTCGGGCGTGTCCTCCTGCAGGCGGATTCTGGGCGAAAAATAACCAACTGCTTCCAAAGATGCTCCAAACTCTCAGAAAAATGCTAGAAGAATCCCCCCCATAGCATGTTGTGACTATTTTGGAATTCGGATATTCCGCCTGTAGAGGGACAGGCTCGACTTAAGCGTAGGGGGGGGGGGGGGGGAACACCGACCTGAAAGATCGGCGATGCGTCGCCGATGGCTCGGCGACAGGCCCCGCGCCGTGAGAATCCGCACGCTCCCGGGCAGGATGCGGCCATCGGGGCACCACCGGCGAGGACTGGGCGATGGAGGGCCGATGCATCCTCCCCCCCTGTGCCTCTCCCCCCAGATCGGTGGCCCCGAGGACAGAGAGAATCCGTACGTTCCTGGGCAGGATGAGGCTGTCGGCCCACTGCCGGCGAGGACTGGGCGATCGAGGGTCGCTAGAAGGCGCCCCGCATCCGCGGGGTCGCGGTCTGGGGGCCCCAGGGGCCCAGCCCCGCGAGGCCGCGGACAGGGACATGTGTGTGTGTGTGTGTGTTCGCCCAGAGGCCCTGTACGGGGCCTTCCCCCAAGGACGAGTTCTGCATCCTTCCCAGCCTGGAGCCCATCCCTATCCCTAGGATTGACACGCCGAAAGGCGATGACAATCTTAGGGATTCGCCCTTGAAAAATAGGGGAATCCCTAAGATTGGCATCGTGATGAGGAGGTGCCCAGCATAGGGATAGGGATATGTTCCAGGCTGGTAACATCCTGAATCTTTTTCTGGCAGTCTTGGGGCCCGTGGAGGGCCCAGAGGGCCCGAAAACGGCGAAAGCCCTCAGGCCCCGTTTCTCTCGGGACCCGTTGCCCCCATGGCGACTGCTTTGGACGCCGGCATGGGCATGGAATGAATGGGCACGATGTCCAACAGCACAGTTGGTCCAAAACCGACTGCGGCCCCTGTTTGGCAGGCGGCCCTTCGTCTCCAACGGACAACGCGTCCGCGGCGACGCCGACCGCAAGCCCTGCTCAGAAAGAACCTGGAACTGCTGTCGGCCTTCGTGCCCGCTCTATTTCCGTACCCATCTCGATCGTAACGACGCATGTCTACTTTTGGAGTCCCGAAACGGTGCGGTGACAGACCTTGCGGTGACCTCGAAATCCCCCAAGACCTCACCGTACGGCCCGTCACCGCACGGTCCTGGGACCTCGGATGCCCCAGTCGCCCGAGACGCCCTCGGAGGGCGACCCGAGCCCCAAAACCGTGCGGTGACCCCAAATCCCCACCGTCTCACCGCACGGTGTGTAGGGGGCCACATGCGAACCTTACCCCCGCCCCCCACGATTTCTGAGGGGAAGGGTGGGGTTCGCTGTGCTCGGGAGCTCCCGAGCGAAGTGAACCCCACCCTCCCCCTCAGGAATCGTGGGGCGTAGGGGTGGGGTTCGCACGTGGCCCCCTAGTTTGGCCACCACCCCGCTTTCGGGGATGGACAGACCCCCCTTTAGTAAAACGTGGTTTAGTGAAAACGACCTGAGGCCCAAACCTGGCGGGCGCAAGCCTGGAAAGTAACGGCCACGGCGCCCTCCCGAGCACCGGAAACGGACAATTCACGAATCGACGCCGTGTCACTGCTGGGGGTTCTGTCCACCCCCGACCCGCTCGGGCACCCCCGACGACTGCCCACGAGCTCCGCAGCGGCACCCGCAGGGGGCCCTTCTCGCCGCCCGGCGCGCGGCTCGCCCGCCCGCACGTCCGGTGGTTCTCCCCCGCCGCCGCGCCGGCGCCGCCCGCGGGGGCGCCGCCACCGCACATCCGCCGCCGCGCCCGCGCGCCACGTGGGGCGGCGGGGCGCCGAGCGCCGCCGCGCCGGCGGGCCCCTCCACGGAGGCGCGGCGGGGGGGGGGGGAGGATCTTGAGGAGGGGGGGAAGTGGGAAGGAGAAGGGGGAGGGAGCAGGAGGAGGAGATGGAGGGAGAGAGAGGAGGAGAGAGGAGGAGGAGGAGGAGGAGGAGGAGGAGGAGGGAGGAGGAGGAGAGGAGGAGGACAAGGAGGAGGAGGAGGAGGAGGAGGAGAAGGGCATCATAGGGGAGCCCAGACCTCCCTGGAGCGGGGGGGGGGTCAAACGTGGCGCCAGGATCTCGGACCTATCTGGAGCCCAGGCGAGGTCTCGGGCCGCGGACACCTGGAGGGCCGCGTTGTTCTGGCGCCCTGTGGAGGGTCAGGGAGACGGGCAGGATAGTTTCGGGTTTCGGGTTTCGGGTTTCGGGTTTCGGGTTTCGGGTTTCGGGTTTCGCGTTTCGGGGCAGGGTAGAGAATCAGCTCACGCACTCTGGAGGGCATGATTCGGCGGTGGACTAACCTCCCTTTTGCAAAAAACGGCCCAGGACCGAAACCGACGGACCTGGACCCGCAAAAATAACGGCCGTGACGCCCGCTCGCGAACCGAAAACGGCTAATTCACTAATCGACGTGTCATTGTAGGAGATCTATCCACCCCCGAATGATACTTAACTCGCCCCCCGTGGGGGTTGGGGGGGAATGGGCGCGCGCAGGCGAGGGGGAGAGCCTGGACGGGGATAGCAGTGTTTGAAGCACGAGCTCCTGGGTCAGGAGGGGGGAGTAGCTGTGATGGGCCTGTTTTCCACCACAACCACCATAAGTTGGAGGAGGAGGGGGTCCTCCTCCTCCTCCTCCTCCTTCTCCTCCTCCTCCTCCTCCTCCTCCTCCTCCTCCTCCTCCTGCTCCTCCATCCGACTAATGGTGGTTGTGGTGGAGAACAGGCCCATCAATCTGGGGGGACGACAGGGTAGGACAGACAAGGGTAAGGCAAAGAATCATCTCTCGTGGCTGGTTTTCCAGGCGCCTCCCTGCGCCGGGAGGCGCCCATGCATCGAGGAACGGGCCCGGCGACGGGGCGGAAACCAGCTCCATGCAGCAGATCTCGAACCTCCCCCCTTTCCCTTTCCTACCCTATCGCGCGGCTGGGGAGTACCAAGACCAGGCCAGGATGATGCTAAAATCCGGTGAAGATAAATCGAGTTTCTCTGAGATCCGGCGGCTCTGGAAGATGTCGCGGGCGCCGCGGCCTTCTCAGAGCGTCCTGGCACGCTCTGGGAAGGTTCTGGTACGCTCTGGAACGGAACTATCCTGAGATGAACTACGTGCATTTGGAAGTCGAACCTTACTTAGATGAACTGCGTGTATTGGGAAGCAGGTTCGACTTCCCAGAACACGCCGTTCATCTCAGGTTTTTTTGGAAGCAGGTTCGACTTCCCAATGCACGCAGTTCATCCCCGTCAGAAGTACCAAGCTCGCTTTAAGTTTGAGGATAGGGCGGCCGTCGTAGAGAAACCGGGGACTGTGACCCTGCGACATGCAGGAGAGACAGACCCTTAGAATCCAGTGTTGAGCCGAGTGACAGGCATGGCGGAAATCCATCGGCCGGTTGTGGCGGGGGAGGAGGAGAAGGGGGGGCGGAATGGGGGCAGGGGGGAGGGAGAACGAGGGGGGAAGAGAAACAAGAAGGAAGAGAGGAGGCTCGGCTGTGCTCCGTAGGCCTGGCTTGCGTGCCGCACTCAGGAAGGAGAAGGGGAGGAGGAGGAGGATGAGGAGCAGGAGGAGGAGGAGGAGGAGGGCGGAGGAGGAGGAGCAGGCCCTCAACAAACCCAGGATGCATCATAGATGCCGCTACGAGGGCACACGAGGAAGGAGGCAAGCGACATCGGCGGCATGATGCGTGCGTGTGTGTGTGTGTGTGTGTGTGTGAGTGTGTGCGTGTGTCATAGGCCCTGGCAGCACTTCTCCAACGGCAGCTCCTGGAGGGCAGGGAGACCTTCAGCGTATGCCCGAGTACTAGGTTGGGGAGACTGAGGTAAACCCACGCGCGACAAACACGTTATGTCAAACCTACGCGCGGAAAACGTATTATGCAAAACCGACGCGCGGCTACACATATGCTTGATCCCAATATTTCCGACTTTCTCTAGGGAGTGGTGCACAGACATCTGGCCCATCACACACGCACTGTTCGAGAGAGGTTGATATATCGGGCTGGGCGAAAGGGGGGGATAGCAAAGGGGGGGGTTGAGAATCAGCTCAAGTAGCTGATTTTCCCGGCGCCTCCCGGCGCTGGGAGGCGCCTATGTATCGAGGAATGGGCCCCTCGGTGAGGCCGAAACCAGCTGCATGCAGCAGATTTCGTAACCCCCCCTTTCCCAATCCCCCCCTTTCGTCCGGCCCGAAACATCCTCTGCCAGAGGGAGGCGGGCGGCGATCCACGAATTTTGCGCTCTCCGCGTCGGCGGGCCGTCCGGCAAAGGCGGCCCGCGGAAAGGACGCGTGCGGCAGCTCCGCGCGACAGCGGTGCCCGCCAGCGACAGATGAGGAGCGCGAGAGGCGGAGGGAGTGTGCGGCAACTCGTGCGGCGTGTGGTCGGGCATGGTCCTGGTCCCCCAAACGTGCTGAACAAGCAATGCAGTTTCGAGTGTCGGCTTTGGGATGCCAGGCTCTGGGCAATAGAAACGCGCTTCGGTGAAAGGGTGGTCCCCGTGGAAAGAGGTCCAGAACTCCGGCGGAGGCTCCCAAGGACACCTACGACATGCCCAACGGTATTCAAACACTTACAACCATGGTTCACTGGTTTCGGGCTTCTCGCCTTTTCGCTGTCGATAGGCTTTCGAAACGTCAATTTGGTCCCGAAATCCCCCAGGAGAGTCCCAATGCGGACTCAAGACGTTCCCAATACTGCGCAAGAACACCCCACGAACGTCTCAAGAGGGCTCGGATGAGTGGCAACTCAGGAATACAAGCTCTAAAATCACCTCAGGACGTCCCCTCAAAATCTTTGAGAAAACTCCAGCACCTCTTGCGTGTTTCTAGTGCGATCCGGAGATGGCTCCACACCTCCAATACGCTCCTGGGGCAAACCGTCCGCGAAGGTGTTTGTGGTTGACGCCTGTTGGCGTGGCCACCTTCCTCTCCCATAATCCTCTGTCTCCTTTCCTTTCTCCTCCCCCTTCCACATCTCCCAACTCTTCCTTCTCCATCTCCGCATCCGCGTGTACCAGGCGCTGCCGCGCCCTGGAAGGTTCACGCGGGAGCGCACACAAAGGGCGACGACGAAGGGGGGGAGACCCAGAGGCCCCAGGCGGGGAAAGGAACAAGGCAGCAAGGCGGCGGGAGGAAGCTGTTTGAACAGAGGACATGGTGGGAGGAAGGGGATTTGCCATCGCTCGGACGTCCATTCCCTATGCATGCTTCGGTTTCGTAGGTGTTGTTTGATCGCTCCATGATCCAGGATGCTCCTCCCCGGTCCTCGCCGAGAAGAAAATGCACACGTCCGAGCGATGCCAGGGGAAACGTAGTCCCCCAACACGCCCCTCGCCTGGCGAAGCGGGGGGGGGCGTCTGCAGCAGGGGCGGCCCTATTTTTGTACGGTGGGGTAGCGCTTGGTTGACATCTGTCGCGCATCGGGCTGGAATGGGCCTGCTGGTCCTCCTCTTCCTCCTCCTCCTTCTCATTTTCCTCCTCCTCCTCCTCTTCTTCCTCCTCCTTCTCCTGTTCATGTTGCTCCTCTTCCTCCTCCTCCTCCCCCTCCTGCTTCATCCTCCTCTTCCTCCCCCTCCTCCTCCTCCTTCTCATCCTCCTTCTCCTTATCATCACCATCACCACCATCATCATCACCACCACCAGCATCATCATCATCATCATCATCATCATCATCATCATCATCATCATAATCATCATCATCATCAGCATCATCGTCATCGTCATTATCATCATCATTGTCATCATTGTCATCATGCTCATTAGCAGCATCCTCAGCATCAACACCACCATCCTCATCCTCTCCCCCCTACTCACGACAAAACATTTTTTTGCACTGGTCGACGTAAGAACACACAAGCACACCTTTGGACTCCAGTTTTAGCGGCCCTCGGGGTGGCAGAAACGACATCACTGTCGAAATGCGGCGGCTGGTAATGTGACTAGATGGCAAAGCACCTTGTCCTCCTCTGGACGGTTGGCCGATCGGTTGAGCAGTCTTGGCTTCAAAGTCCGGCAGGGAATGGGAGCAAACCCCAGAGGGTGGAACACGCAGGCCCGCGGGCTGAAATTCGCGCCCCGCGCGCGGGAAGGCAGCGCAGCGCAGAGGTCCCGAGGCGCCCAGCCCGCACCCCTCCCGCAAGCGGGGGGGGGACAGACAAGGTTGGCCGGAGGAGCGGGCGGGCGGGCGGGCGGGGCCCAGCGCGGGCTGGCCGGGGCGAGGGGATGGCAGAGAGAGCGCTGTCAGGTTGGCGGTGCGCCTGACGGTTGCCACGACAATGGCGCCGGCCGCGGGGTTGGATTGCCACTGCGCCAACCACTCACAGCTTTCGACGAAGGCCGCCAGCAGAGAATAACAACGAGGCGCCCACCCCCCCCAGCAGTCGAAGAACTTGTCGTTGAGCTTCACCTGGCGGGGCATCTGATGCGGCCGCTGATTGTCGACGGCAGGGCCGTCGACGCGAGCCGCCCAGGCAGGGGGCACCGAGGTTAACGGAGTCGGCGGCTGCAAACAATCGTCGTTCTCCTCCATCGCCTCCTTGTCCTCGCAGGCCCCATCGCAATCTTACCCGCGCTCGGGCCCCCACAAGGGCAGCAGCCGCCGCACTGGCGCACTCATAGATGCAAACTGCCGCTCCTGCCCGCCGTCTTTGCTTGATTGGGCGGCCCAGGCCCCCTCGTCTTCGTCAGTCTCCTCCTGGTTGGATTCCTGCTCCACTTCGTTGTGTGGAACCTCCCCTTGCCCGTCCTCCACCGCCTCCTCGTCTTCGTTTCCCGAGCTATCGTCGTCGTGGGAACTTGCAGCGCCAGGTTCCCGCCGTCATGGGAACCCCGCCGTGTCCTAGGGGCCCTGGTCCTCCGCATGGTTGGCGCGCGCGGCATCGTAGCGGTTGTCCCGGGTGTTTTGCTTCGCTTCGGCCACATTCGGGTCGAAATGGACTGACTGTCTAGCAATAGGCGTGGACCAGGATGCAAATCCCACGCGAAACCCGCAACAGCTCGCCAAAATGCTGTTGCGTGGTTTCTGGGCCGTCACGGCGGTCGAGCGGCAGACATTGGCGCAACAGTCCTGGTCGCTAGTTCCGTCGGCTTGCCCCAACAATCAACCAACAAAAACAATGGAGACTAACCTTGCGATGTCTAGTTCGATGCCCCGTGCCGATGCCCCTGGGCGATGGAAATTGCAGCGAAAGGTTACGACTGTAGCTGAAAAAGGCCGAAACTATTGCAGCCGAGGGCCCTGATTGCGTCACCGGAAACGGGAACGGAAGGGAAAACGATGATCGTCATGTTCCTCGGCCTCCCGCATCCTCGGCCGCTGCGTGGATACGGCGAAACTGTCGTCGGGGATAATGGGCCCCCAAGACGTAGTGAAAATCGCATCGCCGCAGGCGCAACGCATGCCAGACCGCTAAAACGCGGAGGTTGCCGATGACAACCAGTAGGGCGATATGAGGTGTGCATTATGTAAACAGGAGGTGTCCATGCCACTGTCCAACTAGCGCTGCGGGCCTTGCGGCGACGAAAATGATTGTTGCTCAGCGGGGTAGAATTCGTTCAGCCAGCGGTGTACCTTCGGGCGCTCCACGCCTTGAAGTTCGAGGCGTTCTACGCCAAACAGCCGTGGGGACCTGTTGTGACCAGCCTGGTAACCTTTGGGTGGCTGCGAACGCAGACCTGCAAGTCATGCCAGTTTTGCCCCTCTCACAAGAGAGCGACCAAGGGCGCCAAACTGACCCCTTGGAAAAGGGGAGACAAGTCCCGGTGCCTGGGTCGCAGCGACGACGGCGACAGCAAAGATCGTGACCATCACGTCGGATGTCTGGGAATGAGGAGGGTGGCTGGGGTGGAGGACGAACGGCGCTGCTAGATCAGCAGTAGTGCTGCGGGATAGGAGGACGGAGGAGACGACGCCGATCACGACGACGACTCTCGCGACGTCGAATGTACGGGGGGGCGCCAGCGCGGGAGCGGAACAAGGAAAAGGACGAACGGAAGGACGAAAAGGAGGGGTAGGAGGAAATCGGGGGGATGATATGACGTCGATGCTGATTTTGCACCACTAGAACTACCACGTGCGTCAATCTCGGGGGCAGCGCCCGCTCCCGCGCGCCAGGATCGCTGAGACCCGTGCAGGCGGCGAGGGCGAGAGCCATGCCAAAAGATCACGCACCGCCAGCCTGTTACGCGCGGCTTCGGCACTGCTTCGCGCGAGCGCTCCGCTACAACCGCGACTGCCTGTCATCCTCTGTGCCCTTGGACCAATGGCGGCCCTCTTGCAATCGGGGCCACAAGGGCGCCAAACCCTGGCTTACGCCCAGCAAGGGGGAAGCGGACGCTGTGATCATAGCGCGCACGCGCGCGACACTTGACCTGGCCACCCGCGGGCCCGTCTCTGCAAAAAAAAACTCGGCCTGGCAGTGGCTGGAAATGATCGGCCCCCGCTGCTGCTGAAGGGCGGGCGCTATTCATCGATCGCCCCGTGGCCACACCAGGGCGGGGCGCTCTGCCTTTCGCGCCTGCCGCATCTGAGCCGCCACGTCGCGCAGGCGTCGCAGCTGCGCCTCTCGGGCGGCGCGCCGCTGCATCCCAGCGATCCCCTCGGGACCCACGTCGCGCCGCAGGGGGTCGAGCCCCCCGACCGTGGGCCATCGTGTTCCCGCCGTACTCGCGGCCCTCGCCGATGCCCTCCCTATCCGGCTGCGCCCCCGTCGCCAGGGGCTTCGCCGCTGGGCACAGTAGCCACCCGTTGCTCTGGCCCTCGCAAACATTCTGGCCCTCGTCCTCGTGCCCGACCATGCCGGGCTTGCACGTGAACCCACGGTCTCGATTTCCTTCGACAGTTTCGTCTTGAAACTGTGCCTGCTTGCTGCCCTTCCCCGCGCCTCGTCCAACGTGTCCTCGACTGCAACGGTTGCCGCGGCACTGCCCTTGCCCACGTTGGTGCCGCACTCGTCACGTAGGCGCTATTGTCGCGCTTGCGCGCGACCGTAGCCTCCTCAAGCGTCAGCTCCCTCCCAAGATTCGTGTAGCTGTCTGGCCCGTAAAACCCGCCATGGCTACCTTCCCCGGAGCCGTGCAAGCCGGCCTGGCGTGCGAACGAAATCTCCACGAGTTTGCCCTGTTCGCCGAGGATGCGGCCCCTGGGGGCACCGAGCTCCTCCAGGAAGGTACATGATCTATGCTTGGTGAGGTGGCGCAGGACGCGGTATAGTCGAAATTGAAATTGAAGAAGGACAGTACGGATGCAAGCCCCCTGACGTCCATGTCGAGGCTCTTCGAACGGGGACGGCCGTCGAGTGGTCAAACACGGACCAAAGAGGCAAAGATGCCAGGGTACCCTTGGGAAATCACTGATGTGTACTGTGAGTGTCGACTGTACGTTGGCGGCGCGCACAGGGGGTTAGGGGGATGGGGAAACCTTCTCAGAAGGAGGCTACTTCTTAGAAGGCGCAGGCCTGACATCTACGGACAAGGCTGGCGCCCTCCGAGAAGCATCCTCTTGATGGGCCTGTTTTCCACCACCACCACAACCACTATAAGCTGGAGGGGGGAGAGAGAAGGAGGAGGAAGGAGGAGGAGGAGGAGGAGGAGGAGGAGGAGGAGGAGGAGGAGACGAAGCAGCAGCAGCAGCAGCAGCAGCAGCAGGACCCCCTCCCCCTCCAACTCATGGTGGTGGTGGTGGGAAACAAGGCCACCGGCCCTTTCTCCAAGCAGCCTCCCCCCTCCCCCTCCCGCGCGCGGTCGAGCGCGCCCCCCTCCTGCGCGGTCCAGCGCGCCCAGCACCTCCTCCTCCAGCAACCCCCCCCCCCCCCTCCGCGCGGTCGAACGAGCGACGCCCACGCGACCTCCGCGGCGCCCGGCGCCTCGACCGCCCGCCAGCGGACGATGCCCTCGGCGCGCCGGCGGCGCGCTCGCCGCCGCCGTCCGGGGCCCCCGCCCCGCGGAGAGCCCGGCCGCCGACCCCGTGGAGGCCGACCTTGTGGCGGCCCCCGGGGCGGCTGCCCGCGGGCGGCCCGCGCCGCCGGGAGCGCCTCTCGGGGGCTGCCTCCAGCGGGGACTCGCAGGAGCTTCCGTCTCGGAGCTCGGCAGCAAGCCTGTGGTTCGCGCACGGGCCCGCCGCCTTCGTGTCGTTTTCCCGGGCGGAGATGACGCGGGCGGAGAGGACGCGCGCGTCGAGGCAGCCGCTTCGCAGGTACATCCGCACCGTTTCTGGGCTCTGTGGTTGGGTCGGGCACGTCCTCCTCCAGGCAGACTTCGGACGAAACATAAAAAGTAGTCAAACATGTTCAGGAAAGCCAGAAGAGTAGTCGAACGATCGTCCCCAGATCAGCTGTCTGACTACCCTTGGAGATTCCCCCCCGTAGATGGGCAACACGCCTGACTTCACTCTATGGCCAGGGGGCCGAGATTTGTTTTTTTCGCCGCGATGTTTGGGCGCAGATCCCGAACGGTGCTTCGCTCTCGGTAAACACACACACACAGTCTTCTGGCCAAATGCAGGGTGTGCAATTCTGGTCCGCTCTGGCCTTGACACTTGCAACTTGCATACAGGAGGGGCCGACCACAAAAAGCCTTCCACAAAAAAACAACCCTGAGACCCAAGGGAGTCCAATAATTGTTGGTGTGGGCACGTCACGCTTTCCATAGCAAAACCATCCAAGAAACTTGGGACATTCTGGGGGCAAGCAGGGTGTTTCTCGGTATGGGTCTCCACTGTAGAGAGCCGAGAATGCCTCACAGGCCTGCCACGAATCAAAGCAATGGACGCGAACGCCTCGCCGCCTGGAGCCCCAAATGGCTACGGGTGCTCTGGTGATGACAATGCCAGAGAATCCAATCAGAGGAATACACTGGATGCCCAACCACAAGGAACATTCCACAAGAAACCCAACCATGAGACCCCAAGGCGTCCACTGATTTTTGGTGTGGGCACGTCACGGTTTCCATCAAAAATTATCCCAGTGCGACCCTACCTAGGAGTTGGAGGATCTAGGAAAACAACGTCTAACATCCATATGAAGCTAAGCTAAGCTAAGATGAAGCTAAGCTAAGATGAAATAAGCTATGATGAGATAAGCAACGCTAAGCTAAAGGGGCGTAACTGGGGGAACCGCAGGGCGGATACTGAGGGAACCGCCCGGGGCGTGCCCCACTGCATGGCCCTTTAAGCAAACCGAGTAAGAACCCTTCTAGGCAGAGCCTAGGTAGGGAAAAAACCATCGAAACCCAAGAAACTCGGGGCACCCCGTAGGCAAGCAGGGTGTTTCTTGGCATGGCTCTCCAGTGGAAGCCTGATTTCGCGGAGGTACAGGCGCATTTCTTGGATCGGCGCCGGACCCCCCTCCCTGGCACGCGGAGCGTGCCAGGAGCATCGCCGGAGGGGCCGCCAGGGGGGCCCAGCGCCGATTCGGGAAAACCGCGCGGACCTCCGAGAAAGCATGTCCCTGCAGGCTCTCTTATTCGAAATGAGGGGGGAGGCGGAGTAAGCTCGGCTGCGTACACGTAAGAGTGACCCTAGGCAGAATCACCTCTGGCGCGCGGCGCTTGGGGGCGCGAGGGAGCCAAACCCAAGCGCGCAGGCCGATGCTCAGCGATCGGCGGATCCCAGGGGCCCGCCAGGTAGCCACGTGTGAACCCTGCCCCCACCCCCCATGATGTTTCTAAAGGGGGGGGGGGGCGGGGGCTCACGCCGCTCGGGATCCCGAACGCAGTGACCCCCCCCCCAAATTGTGGCCACCGACCCGCAGCAAGGCTCACTCCCTAGCGTTGTGGATGCCACGACAATGGACACCCTAACAGCCCAGTCCTGACATTGACTTTAAAATGTGTTAAAATGTCGGAAACAAGCGTTCGACACGTTTGTTCAAACATGCTTGAAACATATGTAGCACATGTCTTAGACATCTGGGAGTTATGTGGTAACACGCTCCCTCTCCATGTATCGTCCTCCATAGCCCTGGCGAAGGGCCCCTCTTGGGGGCAGCGGCCGCCGACAGGAGGCGAGGAGCAGAAGGCATCGGGAGCGGCCAAGAGGGGGGTGTCCAAGAGGAGGGGGTGCAAATCATGACCGGCGGCACGCGCGCGGCCCAGCGGGGGGGCCAGGAACGTACTGAAATACGAAGAGGCGCCATGAAATCTGGGGAAGTACCATGCCCCCCGCCATGATATCCACCCCCCCCTAGTCCTCACCCCCCTCTTTTCCGCCACCGACAAAAGGTGTGGCCCTGGATGGCCTCAGCCTCTCTGGGCCATCCCCAGGGCCCGCGCGGGAGCGAGGAGGAGGAGGAGGAGGAGGAGGAGGAGGAGGAGGAGGAGGAGGAGGGGGAGGAGAAGGAGGAGGGAGGAGGGAGGAGGGAGGAGGGAGGAGGGAGGAGGGAAATATCATGGCCCACGCCATGATATCCACCCCCCTCCCTAGTCCTCGCCCCCCTCTCTTCCGCCCCCGAAGGCGGCGGGGCCCGCCGCCCGCGGAGGCCGCACCCCGCCCGCCGATCGGAGTGCGGCGCGCGCGCGCGGCGCTGGCGCCGAGGGCGCGGCGCCGCCCTCTCGGAGGGCCGCGCGCGGCGCCCATATGCTCGAAGCCGACCCCCGGCGGGTCGCGGGGCCGCCCGCGGAGGCCGTGGCGAAGAGGGGGGCCCAGAGGACACGCAGAGAAAGACACACGCGCACAGAGAGCAGGATGCCCCACATGTTTCCCCCCGTTTCCGGGTTTCCGCTTCCCCCCCCCCACTTCCCATAGTTCCGTTCTATGTTTCAATGTTTTCGGGGTTTCCGTGTCCCCCCCCCCCACCCACACACACACAGTTCCCATATTTCCCCCATATGTTCCCATGGTTTCGGGGTTTCTGTTTCCCCCCCACACCACCACACTTCCCATAGTTCCTCACATTCTCCTGGGAGATCGACGATTACTTTGTGTCTGTGTGCTTCTGTCCCCTCCTGAGGGGTGCTCCTCCTCCGCCGCCTCGCTCGAGGCTTCTCTGCTGGCCCGGGTCACAAGCAAATGCTGGGTCGGCCGAGCTGCGCCAAGATACCCTGCAAGAGAGACCCCGCAAGAGATCCTGCAGAGGACATCCTGCAAGCAATCCTACAAGAGATGCCCCGCTGAGATCCTGGCGATCCTCCCTCAAAAACGACGCGAAGATCGGGACAAAAAATCGGATCGGGACAACTCGAAACCTCTGAGAATCGGCGGGTTTGGAGCATGTATTGGGCGCCGCGGCCGCTCCAGAGCGTTCCGGAACGCTCTGAGAGCGCTCCGGAGCGCTCTGGAGCGATTTATCCCGATCCTAGCCTTGTTTTAGGAAGCCGCACCTCTCCGGCGAGTCTTCTCTCCCACCCCCCCCGACTCTTCGGCCAAAAATCGGGCCGGACGAAAGGGGGGCTTGGGAAAGGAGGGGGGTACGAAATTTGCTGCATGCAGCTGGTTTCTTGGCCCCACGGAGGGGCCCATTCTTCGATACATAGCCGCCTCCGGCGCCGGGAGGCGCCGGGAAAATCAGCTACGTGAGCTGATTCTCAACCCCCCCTTTGCTATCCCCCCTTTCGCCCGACCCGAAAAAAAGAAGCCGCTCCGAAGAGGAGGGGGGCCCTGCGATTTATCCCGATCCTAGCCCTGTTTTACTCCCCCTCCGCCTCGTCTGAGGCCTCTCTGCTGGCCCGGGCCGGTGCAGGCCGGGGTCGGTCGAGCTGCGCAGGAGACCCTGCAAGAGAGAGAGAGATCCCGCAAGACCTCCTGCGGGATCTCTCCTGCACGCAGGCTCGGGCAGGAGAGCCAGGAATCGAATCGAGAGGTCGGATCGGCGATCGAAACGTATCGGCTCCTCCTCGCTATCCTCACGTTCGCCACGTCGTCCTCGTCATCGACTCCTCGTTGTCCTCGCCTTCCTTTCCTCTTCGCCCAAAACGCCCATTAGACTGCAGCGGCGCTTCCCGTCCTTGCCCGATCAGGTTGGATCGGCGATCGAAACGTATCGGATGGGCGGACATCGGCAGCCGAGTCGGGAAACGTCGAGTCGGTGGACATCGGCAGCCTAGTACGCCTCCAATGAGAAATCCGCCGACCCCTTGTGGGTCTCTAGGCGTGTGAGACTATCCCCCCCCATAATCACCCCCCCACAGGGACCCCAAACCGGCAAGTTCACCCCCCCGGGGCCCAGCCCGACCCCGGACCGAACGCGCCACAAAGCGGGGCTCCAAAACGGGCCAAGACGGCACCGAAACGTTCCCCAGACGGTCCCAGAGGGCCACGGGTCGCCGAAATATGGCTCTTTGACGCTCACGATGGCCTCCAGACAACCTCCGCTGCCAAGACGGCCCAAAAGGCCCCCAAGTGGAATCGTTGGCCTGCGACTGGAACGAGGGCTCCCGCCAAAGTCGGGAATGACTCTCCCCCGGTGACGTGGCGATCGCTTACACCTGGAAACCGCATGCACGCCTCAGCGCCATAGCTCCTGCCCCTGGCTCTCCTCCTCCTCCTCCTCCTTCGCCTCCCTGTCCTCCCTGCCCTCCCTGCCCTGCTCCTCCTCCTCCTCCTCCCCTCTCCTCCTCCTCCTCCTCCCGTCCTCGTCCTCCGTCCTCGTCCTCTCCCTGTCCTCCTCCCTCCTCCTCCTCCTCCTCCTCCTCCTTCTCCTCCTCCTCCTCCTCCTCCTCCTCCTCCTCCTCCTCCTCCTCCTCCTCCTCCTCCTCCTCCTCTTCCGTGTCCGCCTCCTCCTCTCCACCGCCAGACACGCCCACCCGATCGGGGGTGGGGCGGGATCAAAGCTCCAGCGCCCGCGGCGGCGGCGCCGGCCGCGCCGCCGCCGCACAGGAGAGCGGCCCCGCCGTTCGGGTCAGGCGGTCGCTCTGGCCCTCCCCTCCGCCCAGGTGCGGGGGGGGGGGGGCCTCCGGAGACCAGCTGACCGCCTCCTCCTTCCCCTCCCTCCCCCCATCCTCGCCCTCCTCTCCTTCCCCACCTCCTCCTCCTCCTCCTCCTTCCTCCTCCTCCTCCTCCCCTCCTCCTCCTCCTCCCCTCCCTCATCATCCTCCTCTTCCTCCTCTTCGTCGTTGTCGTTCCCTCCCCCTCTCTCCTCCTCCTCCTCTCCTCCTCCTCCTCCTCCTCCTCCTCCTCCTCCTCCTCCTCCTCGTCCTTCTCCCTGTCCTCCTCCTTCTCCTCCTCCGCCTCCTCCATTTTCTCCTCCTCCTCCCCCTCCCTCACTCGGCAGCCGCTCCCACGTCGGCGCAGGCTCCGCCGCGCGTGCACCCCCTGCACCCCGACGCGGCCGAGCGCACGCGCAGGCCTCCCCCCGTCCAGCCCTCGGCCGCGGGGCGGAGGAGGGGCACAGCCACGAAGGACAGGAAGGGGGCCACGAAGGGCGACAGCGGGGCTACGAAGGGCATGCGCAAGGGGGCCACGAAGGGCACGCGTGTATTGGGCAGCAGAGGGCTGCAACGGGGCCACTGAGGGCAGCAACGGGGCCACGAAGAGCAGCGAGGGGGCCGCGAAGGGCGATCGAGCGGCCACGAATGGCGGGTCGATACACCCCCCCCCTAACGTAGCCAACCTCGGCGGTGGACAAACATCCCTTTCGCAAACCTCCCCTTAATGAAAACGACCTGGGACCGAAACCGACGGACCCGGACCCGCAAAAATGACGGCCGCGACGCCCTCTCGCGAACCGAAAACGGCGAATTCGCTAATCGACGTTTCAGGGTAGGAGGTTCATCCACCCCCGACAACCCCCACCCAAGGCTGACCCAGGCCCTGTCGACACTGCGTCTAAGCTAAACTGGCCCATCAAAGTGAAATGGGGTGCGAGGGAACGTTTGGCGGCGCTCAGAGGGGCGAAGGGGGAGGGGGGAAGGCTCCTTAGGCGGAGGCTCTGTCTTACAAGGCGCGGGCCTTGTCTGTCAGTGCAGGGCCAGCGCCTTCTAAGAAGCAGCCCCCTTTTAAGAAACCTATCACCCTCCCCCGACCCCCCCTGCGCGCCGCCAAAACTTGCACATGTCGTGCGCCAGGGCAGGATCAATCAGCATCGAATCCGGAAATCGGGTCGAATGGAAGCGTGCGCGGAAGCGGCTGCATCGGCACGGAGTCGGCGTCGAATCGGATCGGCAGCGCCAGGATGCACAGAAGCGCCATGCAGACATTGGGCCGCATCGGATCGTCGGAGTATCGGAGCCGCATCGGGCCGGGCCCGCAGGAATCGCCATCGAGTCGGATCCACCGGATCACATCGGATCGGAATGGAACCTGCCCAGGCGGACAAAAGGTGCACCATTCTTCATCCCCCCCACCGCCCCTCGCCCCCCCAAATTACGCAACGTCCGAGGGGGCGGCGATGGACCCCATCTCTGGGCCCAGGGCCGCTGCGGAGGCGGCGCGCGGGGCGCCGCTGGCGGCGCACGCGGCCAGCGGCCTGGCCGGAAAAAAGCACACCCGGGAGGGCGCTCGCCTGCTCCCGGCGGCTGCGGGGCTGCGTCGAACAGCTGTCGCCGACCCCTCGCCTGGCAAGCGCCGCCCCTGGCGCGCGCGCGCAGTGCCCGAGGCGGCCGCGGAGAGCCCCACCCGGGAGGCGACACGGCGCGGCCACCCGCCGCGGGCGCGGCGGCGCAGAGGCCCCCGCCGCACTGGGCGCGCAAGGCTCGGCGGCGGGGAGGACCTTGCAGCAGCACGTCCGGGGAGGCCTCGGCGCGCGAGCGCGCGTTCGGCGCAGGAGGAGGAGGAGGAGGAGGAGGAGGAGGAGGAGGAGGAGGGGGAGGAGGAGGAGGAGGGGGAGGGAGGATAGTAGTGAGGATGAGGATGAGAGGAATGGGGAGCACGAGGAGGAAGAGAAGAGGAACGGAGGAGGAAGGGAGGAGGGATGGAGGAGGAGGGAGAGGGAGGAGGAGGAGGGAGGAGGAGGAGGAGGAGGGGAGGGAGGAGGAGGAGGGATAAGGGAGGAGGGAGAGGGAGGGGAGGGGAGGAAGGAGGGAGGAGGGAGGAATGGAGGAGTGATGAGTGGAGGAGGGAAGGGAGGAAGGGTGGAGAGGAGGAGGGAAAGGAGAGGGGGGGAGGGAGGAGGGGAGGAGGAGTCGATGTATGTGGGAGGGAAAGGAGAGGGAGGAGGCTGTAAGGGCTAAGGCTCGACCGGGCCGCCGCCTCTCGCAGCTCGGATGCCTTCGCGCGGCGACGCCGGGCCAGTGATGCCGCAGGGGGGGGGGGGGGGGGGGTGGGGGGGGGGCGTGCCCCCCGCGCGCCCCCCGCGATGCGGGAGGCCGCCCGCGCCCCGAGGCCGCTCTCGCCCCGAGAGGCCCGCTCGCCTGGAAGCCCGCTCGCCCCGCGGCCGCCCCCGCCCTAGCTCCGCGGCGCACGGCGGCCGCTCGCCCGGCGGTGGCCACCACCCCCGCAGGCACGTCGCGGGGCTCGTCGGCCGGCAGAAGTCCGTCGACGTCTGCGGCCTCCGGCTCCGAGGTGGCCGCCGCCCGCGGAGGCGGGCGCGGGGAGGGCGGGGGCTCTGCGATTGCCTCTGGCTCCCATGCACCACGGGCTGGACTCCATTGGAGCCGTGCCTGACCGACCTCATGCCTCCCCTCCTCCCCTCCTCCCTCCGCGGTCATCTCCCCTCCCCCTTCATCCTCCGCCACCTCCTCCCTCCGCATTCCTTCCTCCTCCCTTCTCCCCGCAGCGGACCCGACCGCTCTGTCAGGCCTCCTCCCTCATCCTCCCCCCCCGAAGTCGAGGATAAGCGAAGGGGTGGCCCCTCGATTCTTGAAGCGCGAAAGCGCTTCAATCATATTGCGATCTAGCACTCCAGCACCCGACGACCGACGCGCCTCTACTGTCCGCTTGGCCGCGTGCCGTATCAACGCCCTCCCTCGGAGACTCCGTGGGGAGAAGACCCCGTCCGAGCACTTTTGCGTCGGCGGCTAGGCAGGGGTCGTCTGAGCTGGAGGGATTTTCGACGAAACATAAAAAATACCCCCAAAAAATAATCCCTAAATAATCCAGAAATAGTCTGGGGACTATTGTTGGAGTATGTGTTGGCCTTTGTGGGGGTATTTTTGACATAAAGATAACCAAACGGGGTCACCGCTGTAGCGAACTGGCCATCTCGCAAGAGAGGGGGGGGGAAGGCGGGCCACGGGGACACCGCAGCGAATCGGCCCCGACCGAGCACACGGCCGACTGCCTCCTCATGCCGCCCCGACCTCCGTTCTTGACTTGTCAAGCGCGGGACGCGGAGCCCTCGAACCACCCTCGAACCCTCCTCTCTGGGGCCTGGGCTTGCATCCCGGATCACCGGCTGACGGCCCTGAAGCTTGGAAGCGGGCCCCGACGGGGGGAACGTGGCGCAAGAGCTCTCGATCCGCACAAGAGGTTGGAGGTCTTGCTTTGGTGTCTTGAACCAAGTCTTCGGCCATGGCCACAAGCCGCCACCTCACTTTACGAACTCTTTCCGCGAAGACAGCCCCTGCATCCCCCAACGACCTGGGCAGGTGCTTGGTGTGCATCGAAGAAGGCCTTGAGAGGCCCGCGCGAAATGAAAAGACGCGTAATGAAACAATCCCTCTCTCCTCCTCATCACTCCCTCCTGCCATGAGGGAGAAGCAGTTCCCGAACGAAACAGGTCCTGGATTCCAAAGTTTGCTCTGGAACTGGCTTAGCATCCACCATATTCAGACCGTCCCAGGAACAGGAAAAGGCCTAAGCAGACCGAGCACTGGCAACATATCAGATCATTTTTCCACCAGAGACCTTCACTTGATGGTCCTCCTCCCTCCACCTCTTGGGAGCCTTGGGAGCTCTCGTGAGGCCATCTCGGATACGGATCAAGGAAGGGCGGGTCCCCAATTAGTGCCGCCGCACCAAGAGGCCATCATGGGGCCCACACGATCGTAAAACCAATGATGCTGGCTTCCTCGCCAAGGCCGCTCTGGACGCCCCGACCGCTCGGGGGGCTCCCCGTCCAGGTCCAGGCGAGGAGGTAGGGGGGGGGGGGATAAAACCCCTCCCCGAGGAGGAAGAAAGGAGGCTGGACGGAGGTCCTCTGTCTTGTGGGTGCACGCGCACGCGCCTCTCCCGTGCCCCTGCCGCCCCACCGCCCCGCCGAGCCTGTCTCGCAGCTTCGCGTCGACGGCGGACGCCTTCACGCTGCGGCTCACCACGCGAGCCTGCCGGAGGGCAGGCATCACACGAGCACACAAGAACTGCGCAGGCATATATGGAGGTCCGCGCGGAGGATGACATGCAGATAGCATGCAGATAACATCCAGAGTGTTTCTGGAAGTCCGCCCGGATTTTGAAGGGGCCGAGGGACACACACACACAAACACAAACACAAACACACACACACACACACACACACACACGAATACTACACACAACTCCCAAGATTCCCTGCGTGTTTTTGCATATGTTCCGGATGTTCGTCTCTTCCCAACACTTCCCACATTGTCCCCATATTTTCCTGGGGGTCGGCAATGGACTCGGAGGCGAGCGAGGGGGGGAAGTGAGAAGGGGCGGGCTGTCTCAGAAGGTTCGGAAGACCCCCGGCCTTCCGAGAAGGTTTCTAAGCCTTCCACTACGCCTACGGCCTACAACAGATCCCCGATCGCCATCTGCACAGTCGAGGACTCCGAAGTGTGAAGCACGTGATTGCGAACGTCGCCATCGCGATCGCAGGTGACATGGAGGTGTACCGCGCCCGCATCGCGCTCGACGCCCGCGGCATCGACCTCGATCGTGGCAGACGCGACACGGCGCGCGAGGGCTTCTGAGAAGCACCGCCGCCTTCTGAGAAGGCCTCCTCCTTCTCGTATTCCCCCATCGCTCGCCGCCGATGGACTCCCTGTCTTTTTTGTCCATGCTCTCTGGATGTTCGTCTCTGCCCCCCCACTTCCCACATTGTCCCATACAGTCGGGGCCCTGAAGAAGAAACCCTTTTCGTTGGGGAGGGGCTCCGCGTTCCTTAAGTGTTTCGCAGCTTGCCTCAGGTGTTCCTTATGTTTTCGATCGGAAATCGAAGTTTAACTTATGGAAAAAAGGGGCCTCGTTCCTTATCTTGGGCTCCTTCGGTCAAGGCCCCGATTGTATTCTCCTAGGGCTCGCTGCCGATGTATCGTGCCCGTGTGTGCTTCCTGCCCCTCCTGGAGATCTGGAGAGAAGGTCGGTGCGGGACCCCCATCGCTGCGCCCCTGGGGGCGCCTCAGGGGCCGGGGAAACTACGGTCAGGTCGGGCGTGTCCCCCTACAGGCGGATTCTGGATGAGAAACTGAGAATACTAAAAACGAATATTCAAAAAATCTCCAAAATAATCAAAACAAAACAAAAACTCCCTGTAGAAGGGACAGGCCCGACCCAAAATGGTCTGGGGGCTGTGCTTCTAGTATCTTGGGGCACCTCTGGAGTATGTTTTGAGCGTTTTGTTTTTAATATTGCGTCCAGCAAATCCTCCTGTACGGGGGACACGCCCGACCCAAAAATTGGGGGCGGGGCTGGGGAGGCGGAGAGGGGCCCCCTGTGGTGGTCTTCGACGCCCGCGCCGGCAGGAGGAGCACCGCGGGTTTCTGCGGACGCCTCTCCGGCTTCAGTATACCTCCTCTCCGGGGGAACGCAGGAATGACACAGACATTAAAAAAACGCGGGGAGGAGGAGGAGGAGGAGGAGGAGGAGGAGGAGGAGGAGGAGGAGGAGGAGGAGGAGGAGGAGGAGGAGGAGGAGGAGGGGGGAGGTGAGGAAGGAGGAGGATGATGAGGAGGGAGGAGGAAAGAGGAGGGGGGGGAATTCATTGGGGGCGGGGGCGGGGGCGCGGAGGCCCGCGAGTGCTCAGGGGAACGCAGGAATGGCACAGACATAAAACAGGGGCTCCCAATCTTTCGCCTCGCGCTGCGCGAGGCGCGAAGGGCGAATCACTGCGCGCTCTCGCGCCGCCTCCCAGGGGAGAAGAGGAGGATGAGGAGGAACCGGAGCCGAACCGAGAAGCGCGAAGCGCGAATAACCTCGCGCCCTCGAGGGCGCCCTTGTAAAAGCTCGGAGGTCCGCGCGGGTTCCTCGGATCGGCGCTGGGGGCCCCCTGGCGGCGCCCGACTTCATGTCGGCGCCATGAAACGGGAGCAGCAGCCAAGCAGGACTGCCCTCCGCACGCGTCCCGTCACGACGGAAACCGCCGCGGCCTCAGGGACCCCTCGAGACCGCAAAACGGCCTTCGGAGGCGGCCTCGAGGGGTCCTTGCGCTGGGCGGGCACCGAGAAGAAATGCGGCCCCGAGGGCGCGAGGCGGCCAACTCCGTTCACGACCGATCCTCAGCCCCCTCCCAGGGTCCAAACGCACCAGCTCTTCGAGGCGCGTCCAGCCGTGACGACGAGAAGCCCCCAGGTGGGCGACGATCAAAAGCAGGTCTTACGCGAGATGACGTAGCGACCTTACGCGGTGGCTTGCGCGGGCGTGGCCCCGAAAAGACGACATCAAGGCCCACATGTTCCCCCCTGTCCGCTGGCCGGAACCAGAGCTGGGCCACCTCAGACCCCCCAGCCGGCTCCAAGACGGAGTGGCTCCAAGATGACCCTTGCCCCGCTCTGTGCGCCACGCACCCAAGAGTCTACAGCAGGGGCCCTCTCGCAGGCCTCGCCTGTGCAGGGATTGGAAGGCGTGGGCGACCGCAACTCTGCGGTGGAGGCGCCCAGCGATGCAGGCCTGCAGCAGAAGGCGAAGCGCGACGGGCGCCTGGGCGGCCAAGGCCGCAGTCTTGAAGAACAGGGCCGCTCGCAAGTTGTTATTTTTTGAAGGGGAACTGGGACACACAAATAAATACACACAAATAACAAAATCCCCATATGTTCCTATATTTTCTGGGTTTTTTGTCTTCCCCCCCACTTTCCACATTTTCCCATATTTTCTGGGAATCGCCGATTAATTGTGTCTGTGTGTTTTTTCCCCTCCTGATTTTTGTTATCCTGGGTTTCGACAGTTTGCCGAAGGTTGGGGAAGGGGCGGGTTGGGGGGACCGATCCTGACAAGTCACCAGAGACAGACAGGACCTGGTCAATGGAGGGGGAGGGAGGGGGGGTGGGCATGGGGCCCGCGCCGACCGGCGAGACGATGGATGAACAGACGGCGACCAATCTCCGCATTGTTCGGCCTCGAGGCGACCCGAACAAGGCGGGGAAGCGAACTCTGCACTGCGCTGCCCGAGGCGGCGCCGCACGACGGTGAAAGTCTGAAGGCAGCGCGCCCTCGCGGTCGGCTGCCTCCAGGGGCGACGGCCAACACGACTGGCAAAGCGACTGGGCGGTGCAGGGGCCAAGAGACGGCCCACGGTCGGTTCGTGCGGCGTCGGCGCGCGCCAAGGTTTCTGACATCGCGTCGATCGTTCAACCTGAATCGATCGCGGCTCCGATCGAACAGGACAAGCTTGAATCCTGGCGGGCCCAACGGCGACACCGTGCCCCTCGGTGCTTCCGCGACGCAGAAACCAACCTTGAACGCCTTCGCCGGCGTCACGGGCGCGCCGCCGGCGCGCCCTCGACGCATGAACCTACCGTACGCATCGAGATGCCCGAAGCGGCGCCGCAAAACGGGGTGAAGGTCTGAGGGAAGCGCGCCCTCGCGGTCGGCGGCCTGCAAAGGACGACGGCCAACACGAGCTGCAAGGCGGCTGGGCAGCCCGAGGGCCAAGAAGCGGCCCCCCGCCGCCGCAGGCTGCGAAGAGACTCCAGCGAGAGTGGCTCGAATCGCCAGAGGTCTCGCCCCCCCCCGGGCAACAGTGGAGGCCAGTCCACAAGAAACCTTCCGCAAGAAACCCAACCCTGAGACCCCAGGACGTCCTTTGACTCTTGGCATGGGAACGTCACGCTTGCCATCGCAACACCATCGAAACCCAGGGCACCCTGGCACTGGAGGCAAGCAGGGTGTCTCTTGTCATGGGCCTCCACTCTTTGAAGAAGGGAGAAACAGCCGCAATCATAATCCTTGGCGCTCCGCGCGGATTTTTTTGGATCTGCGCTGGACCCCCCTTCCTGGCGCGCGGAGCACGCAAGGGGCGGCGCCGGAGGCGCCGCCGGGGGGGGGTATTTGATGTTTCTTCGAACTCCATCCCCGTCCCTCCCCATCTCGCCTGGGCGGTCGCGCCTGGAGCTGGGACAGCCGCGTAGTGGCTGGGCGGATTCTGCCGACTCCCTCCCCGGTCCCCTCCTCCTCCTTTCCTAACCTCCACCTCCTCCTCCCCCTCATCCTCCTCCTCCTCCTTCCTTTCTTTTCCCTTCCTGTCCATTCCTTTCCTTTCCTTTCATCCTCCTCCTCCTTTCTTTCCTCCTCCTCGTCCTCCATTCCTTCTCCTTATACACAACTTCTCCCTGTCGCATCCCGAGGCCAGTGTTTCGGGCGGGCCGGGCGTTTCGCCTGAGACTTCCTCACCATTTAAGATTATGAAGCTTAAAAAGCGACGTCTCACATATTGAGGGCGGGTCGTTTTCAAAATGTGGCTCTCGCCTCAGCGCGGCGCACCTTCGTTTTAAAATGTGCAAGAGCTCCAGGGATACAGGGCGGGTGGTTTTCGAAATGTGGCTCTCGCCTCAGCGCCGCGCGCATTCGATTTCATAATCTGCAAGGATTTTTCACGAATTCAGGGCGGGTCGTTTTCAATAGGTGGCTCTCGCCTTAGCGCCGCGTACAGTCGTTGTTAAAAATTGCACGAGCTTCACGGATTGAGGGTGGGTCGTTTTCGAAAAGTGGTTCTCGCCTCAGCGCCGTGCGCATTCGGTGTTAAAAATTGCAGGAGCTTCACGGATTGAGGGTGGGTCGTTTTCAAAATGTGGCTCTCGCCTTAGCGCCGCGCACATGCGTTTTAAACAAATGCAATAGTTTCACCAAATATGGTGTTTTGGACGGATTCAGGACTATGCGGGCACAGAAATTATGCTGATTCGCGGAGTCCCATAAATGGCGCTCTGGCACGATTCCGGATCATCAAGACGCAGCAGTCAGGTTAATACGTGGCGTTGAAATCCAGAGAACAATGTTTTGGCACGCTTCAGGATCTTCAAACGGTTGCCTTCCAACGAGGCAGTTCCCCCAGTGTAAATGAACCGTTGTAGGGGAAGAGGGAGTTTGGAAGGGGGGGGTGATTCCAACATCGTTGATGACTCTGGGGTTTGCACTGGTCCTCCTCCTCCTCCTCATCCCGTTCTGCCTCATCCTCTTCTCCTCCTCCTCCTCCTCCTCCTCCTCCCCCTCCTCCTCCTCCCCCTCCTCCTCCTCCTCCCTCCTCCTCCTCCTCCTCCCCCCTCCTCCTCCTCCTCCTCCTCCTCCTCCTCATCCTCCTCCTCCCCGCCCTCCCGGGCGCCCGCGCCTCGAGCTGGGACAGCCGCGTGGCCCAGCGCACCTGCCGCCAGCCGCGCGCGGCCGGCGAGGCCGCGGGGCGCAGGAGGCCAGGAGCCGCCCCGCCCCTCCCTGGGGGCAGGGCACGAGGCGCACGCGCCCAACCGCGTACGATCGGACCC